GTTTTCATTTCTATTCAAAGAGCATAATTTCATATTAAGCTAGCGTGAAACGTATTCGTTTTATACTCTCTTTTTTTGAACTTGTAAACGTTAGAGATAAAAACCGGCAAGTGTGAGTCGGACTTCGAAGTTTCCGTATCGTCTTTGAAAAACGAAAAAGAATTAATTTGTTGTGTTGTACCATCCTTAAATAATTGTTATTTAGAGGCAACAGAAAAATATTATCTGATACAATTTTAATTGTCAATCTATCACGGTTTATAAGACTGATGGGCGGATGGACAGACGTACAGCGGCGTCTTAGTAATATGGTCCTGTGTTACGGTTTGGTTACGTAAAAATTTAGAAAAATCGTACCAATGCTAATATATATTATTCATAAATTGTAATACTTGAATAAAAATTTATAAAGAAATATTCTTTTATAAAGGCAATAATACTAAATTATAGATTAAAAAAAAAATTTTTTTTTTCAATCCTGCATTTCATTACTTTTATACATTCCCCTATTTACATTGTTAAAAACACGACTTGTTGTAACCAAGCGAAGTCACAATTACGTTTCCCTCATGAAAAATTATGAAGCCGGCAGCGAATCACAGAAGTTGTCTGATTAAATTTGGAAGTTGGCCTGGTAATTAGCGGGAACATAGCATTTCACTCAGGGCGCGGTTAGCTCCGGCCGCCAGAGAGTCGTTACCCGACTTTTTGATGACCCCCAAAAAAGCTTGGGTTCCGATAGAGATAATTACACGTGTAACGGGGTAAGCTGATTCTAAGTGCTTTTTATGGATTAATTACTGAAAAAAAAACTGCTTATTAAACAACGTTTTTTCATCATCATCTTCATCCGCCTATTGGGGTTCTAGCCTTCCTATGGATGTTAACGTATCAAATGGTATAGGGAGAATGGACCATCCACCACGCGAGTTTAGTGCGGATTGGTGGCTTTTAAACGGCTTTAAGTGCCTTTCGAAGCACGGAGGAGCTCGAAATAATAAGTTTTTGGTCACCCATCCTATGACCGACCTTTGCGAAACTTGTTTAGCAACTGTAGCGTAGAACGAGCACGTTATCCACTCCATCGAGCTCCGAAATTGAGTTAGGTAAGCTAATGCTTTTGTTTCTTGTTACTAATCAACATAATCAACCTACACGTCCTTAATAGGGCATGGACTTTTCATAGAACCAGATAGAGAGAACAACTACTAACTGCTACTCGTGGGCCCTAAACAACAGAGAAGCTCGAAGTATTAAATTTTTCATCACCAATCCTAAGACATCTTGCGAATGTCGAATAAAAGCATTGCTATTAGTTCCATAAAGTTAAACAAAATTTAATCGACCTACGTGTAAAGAACTATTATAAAGTTGATAATTATGTTAAGGGAGGCAATTAAGGCATTAAATTAATAGCCTTAATTTGTTCTATTCTGACTAATATGTATTTATGCTATTTCCTACAGATTGAGTAATAAAAAAAAATTTAACAATTCAAAAGTGTTTAAAATAAGCTAATTTCAATATGTAATTTTTCATTTTCATTTTCGTTGCCTTACCGTTAAGCCAATATATTTTACTAACATTTGGTCAGTTAAAATATTATTGACATTTTTATTATATTATGGTTCTTGAAGGAAATATGTTTTTATAACTTCCCTTCAAGAACCATTTATAAATACACACCAGTAAAATCTTTAAAAGTCATATGGTCGGCTCTAATTAATGTCAAATTTGTATCGGTAATGTCGCTTTAAACTACGGACAATTTTAATTTACCTTTGTGCAATTAGCTGTAGAAATCATAACAAAACAAAAGGCAAAATTAAACATTTCAAATATGTATATTATATTGTAGTGTCTCACTTTCAATAAATAACTCGTTCGGAAATCCCAAAAAGTTCACGTGTGATGTAGAAACGGAACCTCACAGGTGTCAGACTAATTACCCTGATTAATATTAAAACAGTACCGAGTGTTGGACACGAGATCAGAGGCGCATCAGATTAATGAGAACCCAGTCATAATTGATGCAACGTGTCCTATGCCTTTGTGGGAACTGCTTGCGACAAATGCTGTTACACTATTAAAAGAAAAAGCTGTCGGTAGGTATTTTTCTTTGTTTTCCATAGTAATCATTTGGGACAATAGCCATAATTTTTAAACAATATAAAAATGATATTTTTTTTATAGGAATTTAAAAAAATGATGCATTCGATAGTGAACCCATATAATATCTAACCTAAGCTAAAAATTAGCATACAAAATGTATAAAATAATATAAAAATGCTTTAGTGACGAATTAATTATCAAAACTTATTTTATGATTGTAATTAACTAATATATTATATACTCAGTTTTATCATTCAGTATCACACTTTAATATTTTGAAGATTGATCATCGTGAGTATACAAGTATTTGTTCAAGACGTATGAGTACATCTTCATATTGGACTCATCGAAAATGAAATATGCAAATATTTGACTAAATAGTATATCTAACAAAATTTATGGGAACTTTAAAAAGTGTATTAAGACATAGCAAGATAAGATATGAATTCGTGAATAAAATAAATAAAAATGAAACCACTTTTCACGGTGATACAGTGTGAATAAATCTAAACCACTTTGTGCTCCCACAATAGCACTCTAATTGACAAATAGTGGAAATGATTAATACGCGCTCTGGGAAAATTCCCGAAATACACTTCTTTGATCGTCTTTTGATTAACAACTACTGACTGTCGCCCGCGAAATGTTATTAATATTCTTTTTAATTTAGTCCTTAATCTATTAAAAGTATATTTTGATCGTATTTATTTTCGGCCAGCCGCAGTTCCCGCTATTTTTTTGCTCCAATATTGTTTGAATAACGAATTTACATATGTAACAGTCAATTTCTTTGAAGCGGACGAGTTTTTTTGTTGACATATGTGTTTTGTTCATTCATTTTAAAGATGGCCGCGATAGAATTAAATGTTCGGAGCAGCTAATTGTAGTACCTTACTAAGAACTCAGAGCAAAGGGCATGGGAACTGCTCGAGTGAGTCACAAACCGCTCTCTGGTTATAAATCAAACAGTATGTACTACGTTATCAAATTATCAAAAGCACGTGAGACTGTTAATTTCGACGGCGGTCGGTCAGTTTAAAGCCTTGTTCCTTGAACCGAGCTGAACCAAGATTTTTATCTAAGCCCATAATTGCCGGCTAGAACATTAGCTCGTTACGTGTCCACAGATTAAAATTGTAACTATGGCTCTGAGAATCACCTCTAGCGGAGGCTAATCTTTTTCGCAAACATTTACTACATGATATAAGAAATTAAATGTGTTTAGTTTCATAAAAAGGAGTTCTATTACAAATGAAAGGATCCGTTCCATATTGCGAATTCGCAAAAGTTTTAAAAGAAAAGATGTTCGAGATGGACCGTTTTATTTGGAGTTAAGCCAAACTCTCAGTAAATTGAATTAGTTTGAAATTAATATGGTGCTATTAAAAATATTAAGTGAATTTAAACTTTAGTTTTGATAAGAATAATTGGTGTTCGGCCGCGAAGAAATTAGTTTACTTTGTAATATTTAATTATCATTTGTACTTTAACAAATTATAAGAGTGAAATATACAGCTAGTCTGTTTAATCAAATTAACATTGCGATTTACATTAGGTATGAATAGATTTAATAGAATTTGCGTGAATTATCACTCTTTTATACCCATGACTGGAGGAATTCAAATGGAAATTGAAAATTTTAAAAAATGCGAGGGTCGTCCTCTTAGCATAGAGGGGAGGCGCGTCGTAAATTTAAATGGTCCATCTCTCAACATGCAAATTTTCAGAGTATGCCTTTCAACTGTATCCAAGTATGGGCTACCCCATTAATTATGTTTATTGTCGTTCAATTATCACCTTTAGCTCTTTAGTAATAGGTATCGGTTATACTGATACCATTTTGCTTTACATTTCCGGATTGTGACATTCTCTATATTTGTCTTTTGGACAAACTATCTAAAATATCTAATTTTTACAAATCGGGTTTTTTTTTTTGTAAATTTCATTGTGTGTAGCTTTTAATACGTCGCATAACAAACAGAAGCATCTGTCGGCATATTGTCTCAAAGCTGCCATCATTAACTGTCGCTAATGAACCTCGAACCTCCAGCTTTAAATAACTTTTGAGGGGCGGATTCTGTAGCCAGTACATCCATACAGATTTTTTACTCTAAATACAAAGTTAATAAACCATATCGAAGATCTATCGATGTGACTTTGGAACAACGCTCTAAAATAATCCGGCATTAGGTTTACCACAACAGTAATAAATAAGAGAGCAATAAACATACACGCGTACAATATGGAAATTTTCGTCTTTTTTGCTGCGGTCATTTAATTTTTTTTTTCTTCACTTCACCACGTTATTAAATTCTAGTAGCTGTCATATTTAGTGCGCAGTAAATTTCCGTCTTTAAAACATGTAGAGTGAGATCGGATGATAACTACGCGGTTTCTGTGGCACTTGTCTCTCCACAAATTAACGTCCGCGTAAAGTTATATCGTCGGGCGGCAGTTGTCACTCATGCATATCAACCGCTGGGAAACATCAGGGTATAGCGGGTCAGCCACATGTCGACTCGAACGTGACACTATTTCATATCCCTGTCTCACAATTATGAGGACCTCCTTCCTCCAGTCAGACAAAGACGGATTGTAAGCTCGCACTCAAGAATGCGCCGTTTAGTTATCGCATACGGGGCCCCCTATCACAGACAGGTTGTCGCTAATAGGCGTTTTACTTGAACATATGATCCAACGTCTTCGTGTGTGTCCCAACTTCAGGACACGTGTCAGTCTGAGCCCGTCAAGTCGGCAGCTCACTATGACTCTTGCGCAACAAATCGCGAGCCAAAACAAACACTCGATCGATCGAGGGATCAACCTGATCATTTGGGAAAATAAATTTAATTATAGACTGACTAAGAGCAACAACCTCTTCGTTTCAGATTTGCCGAGGAACCGATGAGAAGACACCGTCCGTTGGCGTGACCGACCAGTGATTACAACTTGCGGTGTGAAGTGAATGGAATCCGAAGTGTCCGTGTGGTGAACTGAACAGTGACAGTGTCGGCCCTAGAGGCCGAGATATTGCGACGGAAGATACGGACGCGAGCCGCGCGGGCTGCGGGCCCGCGATGAGCGCTAACAACTGCGACAGCATGACATACTTCTCCAACGCATACATGCCCGATATGAGGAACGGTGGACACGAGCATCAACAGGCACACGCGCACTACGGCGCTGTGCCACAGCAAGGGCACGAGATGGAAGGCTGTGACCAGCAGCTGAGGCCTGCACAGCACCATTATCCTGCGCAACCGGCGCCAGGAATGCCTTACCCTCGGTTTCCACCTTACGACCGATTGGGGTATTACCAACAGATGGAACAGAACGGTTACCGGCCAGATAGTCCTTCCCAAATGGGGCACATGGGTCCGAAGACTGATGGTTATGGGCCAAATGGTCACCAGCCGCCGGCGCCGGCGGTTTATACTTCATGCAAGCTACAAGCGGCGGCTGCAACGGCGGGTGGAGTACCGGGCAGTCCACCATTAGAGCAGGCGCAGCAGATGCCGCATCATATGCACCCACAGCATATGGTGCAGCATGGGGTGCCACACCAACAGCACCTCATGTACCCCGTGGACGACATGCAACACCAGACCCAGATGCCGCCCATGCATCAGCAAAGCATGCACGCGCAGCAACCGCCACCACAGCAGCCACCTCCTAATACCAACGCGTCGCTGCCTAGTCCACTCTACCCCTGGATGAGAAGTCAATTTGGTAAGTTACTTGTTAATGATTCTTCGATAGTTCGTAAATTATGCTAACAAACTTACAGGAAACAAAAATCACATAAAAATATTATTACATTACTTGTAACAGTTGTCTATAAACCATTGATATCTCTATCACAAGTTTAGTACATAAATACTCACAGCCTCGAACTAAACGGTTTTATAGAATTTCAATCTCTGTTCTTCGTCAGCGCTGCGATCGACGTTGAGTTCGAGGCTGTTTTTTTTAACAGAACAGCATAGCAGCATAGTTTTACACAGTACAAAATAGTCTTTCAAAATAATTTAAATCAAATTTTGCAAGTGAAACTGCATGTGGAATAGAAACGGTCTGACTTAGAATTTAAAATTAATTTGGAATATTTTTTATAACAAGTTGATATTTTTCTGATTAATATCTCCATAGAAAAAACAAAAAAAAATATATATTCAAAGAGCTACGCTTTTGCCATATTCCATTGTACCTCTCGTCCACTTTACAGGTAAATAGTTAAATTAAAAGTTTCGAAAGTGAAACCGAATTCTCGTAATTTGGCAAATTTGCACAACGTCACCACGTACAGGTAGCGTAATACATATAAAGGGCATAACAAAAACACTTTCGCCTCACGTGGCTCATTGATGAAACAATAAGTGCCAGAGACAATGGCTTGCGTTCTGTTCCTGGATTATTTATGGGTCGAACAGGCGTTCAAAAGGAATTTCACTTTTCATAAAATTTACAACTCTCAACACAAAGCGTTCACCTTCTGTTTTGCTGACGCCACCCGCGAACAAAGCCCTCAAGTTGTGCTACCGTCTCCTACTGTTTTCGAATTTGCCTGAGCTCTAATTTATGGGGAAGCTGCCCGATTTAAGGATTCCATTGTAATTGAGATCATTCAAACTGCACATCGGAATTTTTAAGCTTAGTTTGCCGCGTACTTCTTCTACGTCAATTGGGGCTCGTTGTGTTCCAAATACCTATTAAAATTCATAAGATTTTCTTTTAGTTTTGCATATACCTGTTGTGAATAATTTAAAGTGCTTACAGTTTTCTTTTAGAGAGTTCACGGGCTTTCTATTCTGAACTACTAGTGGTGCAAGTGCGTAAATTGAGAATATAAATAGAATTATTCTTGTTGTATATAAATGCACAGTGGTGATTATAGTATGCAATAAGGAAATAAAATGAGGTATGCAGTTAAATTTTCTTGATTTATTAAAGGATTTCGAGTTGCATTTTGTAACAGTGTATTGAAAATTAAATCACTCAAACGTTGAAACAAATTGGGCCCTTTATTCATTAACTACCTACTGTCACAGATAACGGAAACTTTGGTGACAAGTAGCTCGGTAGCGTTAACAGTACAAAACAATATATATTTTACTTAACTAGTAATAATAATATGGTCTTAAAATTTATTTCGTAACAATGACTTATATAGACACGATGTTGTTTCTAAAAACATTTTTGTTTGTGTATTGTATACATATGCTTTATCATATAAACAATATTCCAGTTTCCGATTTCAATCCGGAAAGAAAAAAATAAAGTCGATATACATTTCAGTGATTTATAGTTGAGTGATTTGATACGACAGTTTTTATAGTATGCATAATAAAGTTCACATAAATGAGACTCGTTATATATTAACCTAAAAGCTCGTTATTATTGTAATTATATATTGACAATAATTAGGAGATATTAGGATGATATATAACGAGTCTCATTTATGTGATCTTCGGATGGAGTTGTAAAAGAAGTATATTTCGTAGAGGACAGAGCATTTTTCTGGATGAAGAAAAATAGTAGACCCGATAAGAAAAATGTTGGTTAGCTCTAGTTAATAAATAGAATATTAACTTAAACATCGATAAATTATTAGTTGAGCTATAGAACGTTAAAGTTGTATTCTCGTCTCGAAAGAAACAATAACCTTGAATATCAATAGTTGGCTCTGCAGACCATACGTAGTAATGTTCGCTAGCCAATCACCGACGTCCAAGTTCTGGCGACTGGATGAACCCGTGTCATAACCCTTATCTGCCAGGCCCGATGCCAGATAAGACGTGCCAAATTTGACTTACACCCTGGATAGTTGGATGTTCCCTTAATTAATTTGGAACTTGGATCTGATTTGTTTGTTTATTTTCTGGAGTTGATGTAAGATTGTTGTTAATCGGGATTTCCTTTTTTGGTTCGATTCTTTATCCTTTAATCAAAAATATTTAAATATACATTATATTGAATGAGCTCTTTTTGATAAGTTAGTAGATATCTACAATTTTAAGTCTTTAATACGAGTATTAAAACTAGTACCAAGAGTATTTTGAAACGAAAATATACGAAAAAAAATTAAGACAAATCAATCGGATTAGATATCCTCAGCCATGAGAGACAATTTAAGAGAAAGAAAGAAAAATTCTCGTATAATAATAAAAGATTAAAATAAGTCATCCAACTTAAATGGCTTAAAATGGCGGCAGAATTTTAATGTCAGCTGTGTTTTGTGGGGGTGTATAGAAAATTCGTTTGGTTCATCTTCTTTGCCTCGGATACAATTAATAATATTTATTTGCAATTATTAATCATAACTCATAATAACTAGTTTATACCGATGAGTAAGCTTATTTTGCCTTCGAGTTGCTTTGATTGAATGTGAGAAATAATACGGCCTATGTTTTGACTAGATAGCCAGATTTTATTAAGAGTGTTTAGTGTACATTATTGCTATTACTAAGATTGATGTTTTCATATATTCAACTTTTGAATTTTCCCAAGATGTTATATTTTTGACAAAAATACCAAACTGTTGCTTATTTTGTCGACTTTTTAATAGCCAATTCATTTTACATTCTTATTACTTAATTCATATCTGAAAAAAAATACCATATCATTTTTTCCTGTTCATAACCCAAGTCTAGAGTAGGTACTTGAGAAAATTTCCGACGTTCCCTAAACAGTTGCTAAATAGGTATGTATTTAGCTTATGAGAAATCTGCTCCACTCGAGAGCACCCGGTAGCTAATACTCGCACTTAAATCTCTACTCGTGTTATCTACTTGAAACTACCGCTTCATTAATTATCTTCAAAATTCGGCTGCCATATTGAAAAAAAAACGGACCAATGGCGGTTGGGTTCATGTTTTGTTTGAAAATAGAACGGCCTGTTAGGCACAGACGATTCATTAATCATTGGAATTCTACACCTACTCGCTCCTCTGTTTATACTGAACGGTTTAACTGACGTAAATACGGTCATGTGCTTTGAGTATGTATTGAGTATGTAATTTTGATCAGCAGTTAATGGTGAAGAGTGAGCTGAGTAGTGGTAAAAAGAAAATGTATTTCATTATATTTGATAAATATATTGAAATACATTTTCTTTTAATGTTTTAAAAATCCACCTTGTCCCAGACACTCTGAGATGGGAATTGAAAAAATTCCTCAGTCCTGTTGGGTCCTGGGTAGCTCAGAGGTTAGAGCAGTCGCCCGAATTGCGAAAGGTCATGAGTTCGAGTCCCATCTCAGAGTGGTGCCAGGGACAAGTTGGATTTTTTAAACATTTTTCAATAAGAATATTTTTATATATTTTGAAAACAATAATGTGGGTTAAATGTTTTAGAAAATCTTTGTAGTCATATTCGTGGCTTAAATAGGCAGTGTTTAGGCTATTTCAATGATATTCCTGGTAAAATGTAACCACGTATAGACATAATCTTGTAAGTAGAGTTTGTGAGATAATGGTTTCTTAAATATCCCTCTTTTTTAATCCAATATTGAATGGAAGTTTGTCATATACAGTTAAAGTCCTAATTGGAATACCTTTTTGCTACTAAATTTGCGGAGTCAGTGGTTAAACTCGATTTTGTTTTCCTACAATTAGTGTGATTCGTATTTTTTTTAAGTTCATGAAGTTTCGATATTAATTTATCGTACAAGCGTATGATAAATACCCGGCTGACTAACGGCATAGAAAGATAGACTTACCTATTCCAAGGTAGGCTCGATAAGTCGGCAACTGAGGTGGAAATGGAAATATAATGAAAGCCTCCCTCCCGAGGCTTTCACACAATGGATAGACGACTTGTTACATTTCATTGTTCAGTTATCAGGCGCAGGCTTTTGTGTGAGACTGATGATTGAATAGGTGTATTTGTTCGTGCCTGCTCCTGATTACTGGAAGGACCGTTGCGTTTATGTGTTGGGTTGCAAATGAGATGATTCACCAAGCTTTTTCTGTGCCATTTCAACGTGAAGTTTTTAATAAATCATGGATCTTTTCGAGGGATTGCAATTCTTGAATTTGTGAAACGGCAAATACTCGATTTTATTTGACTAACAATATTTTATTCATACTACAAATTGCTTAAAAAATCAACCTGGTCCCTGGCACCCTGAGATGGGAATCGAACCCACGATCTTTCGCAATCCGGGCGACTGCTCTAACCACTGAGCTACCCAGAACCTAACAGGACTGACGAATCTTTCAAGCACTTGTTACTTTTCGCTACTACAGAGCGAACTCTCATCAATGTTCAGACATCCACCCAAACAGCCGAAAGAAATATTGTTACAAATATTGAAACTTTCGATAAAGATGAGAAATTTGTTCTAATTATTATATTTTGATTAATTTTTTCAGGGTGCCAGGGACCAAGTGGAATTTTTAAGCATTTTGTATTAAGAATTATTTTGCAGTATGGCATTGTGAATGCAAAATTAATCAAGATATAACAATATTTTATTTGATTTAATTTAATAAATGTTAACGTTGTCAAAACATATTAAAAAAAATGTATTGTGAATGTGTCTAATAGTACTGTTTTTATGAAGGTAGCTATACTTTTTATTAAAAAGACAATCAACACCTTAGTCTTATGTGAACACGGAACCCATAAAGAGTCCAAAACGCCAATAAAACTAAATACAAACGCAATCAAACCTTATAAAAGTTGTTTCAATTATGGATAGTGCACGTGAAAATATAAGAAATCAATTAC